GGGGGTGGGGCACCCGCCCCCCCGCCCCCCCAGCCGTTAGTCGCGCGGCGGCTGCGCTTCAGTCAGGTGGCTCTTCCCGAGCCGCGCCTTGCTGAGGGCGCAGGGGGAGCCTCCCCCGCACCTCCGCTTTCCCGCCAAAAGTCACGAAGTAACGAGGCGTTCAGGGACGGGGCGGGTGGCCTCTCCTCAGGTCCCGCAGCGCGCCTGCCGCCTGCGCGGGCGGCGGGTGCCTGTCACAGCGGCACAGAAGCGGGGAAGCACTGCGTGACGCCGGCCCTGTGGGCACTAGGGTGAGCTGGAGCTCGTGAGGTTTAGGTTAGGAAGCGTGCGAACAGGCAGAAATGGCAGGAATTGGAGTTAAGAGAGACAACTACTGCAACTTCCTAGCTGGGCAAGGCCTCTGTAAACAGAGTCCTGTCTAAAACGCCTCTGTGGATGCACACCTGAGAGCGGGACAGAGTGAGCAATCTGGTGTGGAGAGGTGCTTAACGATTCCAAGAGAGGATGGCACGTTGTGACGTGAAGACTCCAGTGGACATATCAATAATGCAAAATATATATTAAATTTCAAGTATTCGTTGGACATTTCTTTTTTTGCTTTAGAAGTGCCTTGTAAAAACTGCTAAAATGCCAGTTAACTCCATAGTAGACACTGACAAAACACAGGACCTCAGGTGCTGGACTAAATTAGGTGATACTCTCCCAAATATCCAAGGAGCTGTAGCTGTAAATTCTTGGAAGGAGGCAAATGCAGATTTTAGCTTGAGGTGTGACTGAGAAGCAGATGCTGGAAGAAACCACGTGGAGTAAGAGGTACTAAGGAACAGTGACTGGGGTCTTTCTTTTTTTCTGTCTCTACCTAAATTCCTGAGGGTTTTTTTTTTTCCTTTTTTTTCCCTCTGCATTGCTATTATTTGCTCAGGCGTTCCACTATTATGTTACCCATGGTGCAGACCTTTATAAAAAAAATGAAGCTACATGGTTTTCTTAATCGTTGCTGTCTCTGTACTGTGGAAGTGACTGAAGACATGTTTTCATTGGATGTATGCACGGTGAAAGGAAATTTCCTACTCAGTAAATTTGCAAAACCCCAAGACTTGTCAGACTGCTTATCCCAGAGTTGCCATAATCAAGTGTAAAGCCACATTCCTGTTTGTGAGATCTCTTTTGCCCTTCACATGCTTTATTGATGTGGCATCTAATAGCTCACAGGGCTACGTGCATGGATGAGGCAGCAGCTCGTCTCAGAAGGAAGTGTTTGGTTGTTTGGCTGCTATGAACTGCTGAAGCAACTCTTCC